CTCACATTTATGCCATGAAAACTTAAGTGTAAACTGAACTTCTATTTCAATATCTATAGCTTAAAGGCATTTATTTGGATGGTATAAGCAACTATATCACTTACCAAATATCCATATACCTCATTGGTATTTTCGTGATGTTGATGGAGTGCCTGAAGTGATGGAACTACATTGTTTTTATGAGTCATCTCAAAGTGTTTATGGAGCAGCATTGTACATGAAATTCTGTAGCTTTAAATGGTCTATGGCAAGTTCAGTGATAGCCAAGAACAGAGTGGTCCCTCTAAAAAAATTATCTTTACCATGGCACTATGTTAGGTGTAAGACTTATAATCACAGTCCATGTGCATTTTCTTCAAGCAAAGATTTACTTGTGGACTGATTTCTTAATTCTGCTTCAATGGATAAAGAACTCACCACGGCGATGAATATCATTCATACAAAATCACATTAAAACATCATTAAGTATGTGGTATCATTGTCCTGGATAAGAAAATTCTGCCAACAAAATAACACAAAGTGTTTAAGTGATTGACCTACGAGTAGATCGATTTGTGGTGGCATGGATCTTGATGGCTACACCAAGATGGAATAAATTGATGAACAGGCATTGTAACAAAGTAGACAATGTTGAAGAGAGAGTTGTGACTCAATTTACCAACAATGTTTAACTTTTACGACCTGTGTTAGAGAACTTTAGTGACTTGGATAAGCTTTTAAAAGTAACATCATATATATTTAGATTCATAAACAATTTAAAGTCACAAAATAGAGTGATTGGCCCTGTGACCAAACATGAAATATGCAATGCTATGCAGTATTGAATTTAGTTATCACAATTTTTTTTTTTTTTTTTTTTTTTTTGCAGAAGTGAATAATGTTAAATGTAAAAAACCATTGTATCCAAATTCCAAACTGTTTGGCTTAAATTCAGCAATTGATGAAAAGGGTTGTTTAAGAATTGGAAGTAGATTAGTAAAATGATTGTTAGATGTTGATGAAATACAGCCTATAATATTGTCAAATAATTATTTTCTTGTTTAATTATTTTTAACTATCACAAAAAGGTACTTCATAGTGGTGTAAATAAAACTTTAGTGGAAGTAAGAAGGAAATTTTGGATTTTAAAAGCTAGACGTTTTGTAATATAACATGTAAACTGTGTTATATGACTGTAGATTTTGTAAAAAATACAATGCTAGAGCTGGACATGAGATATCAACTACTCTTCCTGCTAACCGAGTGGAGAAAGCTCAACTGTTTGAGATAAGTGAGGAAATTTTACCAGACATTTGTATTTAAAAGATGGTATAAAAATGCTTACTTGCACGGTTTCATTGCTTACTTACACGGTGGCTCGTGGAGTCCATTTAGAATTATCAAATTTAAGTACAGAGTTTTATTCAAGAACTGAATAATTCCCCCCACACACACACGTAGAGGTACTTGTAGAGTTACTTATTCTGACAATGCTGCTGATTATGAATTAAAGTATTGATATAAATTGTGCAAATATATGATCTAAATTTTCTTGAGAAAAATGGTTTTAATTGAAATTTATTGTATAAGGTGCTCCTTTGTCAGGCAGATTCTGGAAGCATTTGGTAAGACATAAAAAAACTTGTTTAAAACGTATCTTAGGTAAAGCTACTTTATCTTATAAGGAATTGTACATTATTTTAATTCATAAATTTATATTTAGCACTTCCCACCAATAACCGTACACAGATGCATCAATTCTACTGAATTTCAAGATTATATACTACCATCCCTTCCTGGAATCCTACCTAACTTCCAATTACAACATTTCAAATTATCTTCTGGTACATCATTAATTTTATAGTGGGAGAATTTTTTGGAGTTTTTGAAAACAGAACTGATCTTAATTCTGACAAATATTCTTTATAAAATCTTTTCCAAAAATGCTCTAATAATAATTGCCAGTGGTTCCACCTTTTAATCAACTGAGATCTTCCGGATTCTAATTTAGATTCAGGTGAAGGTAAAACAGTCAATTTAGATCCATTATAAAATGACATGGTGAAAGAAGTTCATTGTATACATAGGTTACTACTTATATACATATATATATATGTGTGTGTGTGTGTAGTAGCTCGTCTTTGGTGTTTGCGAATAACGCTGTTTATTACCCTAAATTTGACCCAGTCTTATTTATTATTTTTTTAACATCTAACGTACAAACAATTGTACATTAAATTAAATTTACTCTTTTTTCCCTTTCTTTTATTACACTTTTATTTGGTTAATTTGATTTTGTGCATTTATTTTTTTAATAGCATTAATTTGACTATAATTTTCCAGATAAACTAAATCTTCTTATTCAGTTCAAGATCTTTTATAAAGCATAGCGATAATTCAAGACTATTATACAAGATTTACTAGATGTATTTTCAAAAATATAACATATACAATAAAAATTCATAAATAAATTAAAGGAACCAGACACTCAACAAGTTTACATGTGATACATATCAGGTAGCAACACTAATGCAATACCATTACAAAATAGTGAAAATGCAGGAAAAGGATTTTTGAATACAAGAATATGCAAGGTGTTTATTCATTATTATATGGCAATATGCATTCAAAAGAGGTCATTGAAAGAACTGACAAGTAACCATATCACTGAGCAACAGTATCATCAGTTCATCAGTTTAAGGACATTATTGTCCATGTAAACAGAAAAGCATGGCTTTTACTATGTAGCTGAAGCAGAATTTCAAGTGCCATTCAAAAAAAAAAAAATTTGCATTACTGCAAACTGTGGACTTAAAATTATGCAGCAAATAATGCAGAAAATTTTGTTAGTGTGGCTACAGTTCAAACTATACCACACTGCGTGCAGGAATTAAAGCAAGAACATTATGGCTGATGCCTAGAATTTTGCATTATACTGCAGATTAAGTGGTATGCCCTGAAAAGTTCTGGGCTTTGCTCTGCAAACCAAAATGCCATGTATCATAGAAATCTTCTGGGATATTCAAGAAGAATTCCATAACAAGCCATCACTGAAGGAGTTAACATGAAAAGTCACTTGGTGCAACATGAAGCACTGAATGGCCATAGGCAGCTGTGCAACAGAATTCATTATTTCCTATAAAATATTGTATTGTCAAAATTGGCAATAAAATTTGGTATGTAAAAGGAGATCAAAATTAATTAAGGCTTTTCCCAAAAAATACACAAAGAGAGACGTTAAGCTAAATAAAACTATGCAGAAATGAAATAAAGCAAAAAATGTATAAAATGAAAACAGAAAAGACTGGGTCGTTTTATGTTTGATATTTATATTTGATCTTCAGTTTACATTAAAAAATAAAAGTTACTGTTAACAGTAGAAAATAATAATAATTTACTAAAGAAGTTTTCAATATATACACAGTTTTCAATAGACTTCCTGAACTGACTCCAAGATTTAAAAAATGAAGAAGTTCCTCCCTTTCAATGTTAACATCCATTATTTATAAAACAAATTTCCATTTTTTATAAAATACTGCATACTGCAGCATTTGTTTATATAGCCATACATAATACACTTTGCTGACAGAATTTTCTTTTAACCCTCTCAGCTTTTGACTAATATTTGTATCAAAATGAAACTGCATAACCATGACAAAACTTTGTAGCAGTATAAATATTTTAATACAGATAGATGTTATAATTTTGCTTTAATATTAATAGATGTTATAGTACTAAAATTATTCCATAATAAACAAGCTGTAACCTGACAGAAAAGCTGTCTTCCTGATAGAAAGTTTTATGTATGTGCCCAAACACACAGAGGAATCCAATCTGTGTGTCTGACAGAGCTCACAAACAATTAGATTCTGCACTGGCGCACACATCCTTCAAAGTGACTCAGTTTCTTGACAAAATACGTCACAATGCTGCCCCAATTACCCTACAGCCTTTTTTTCTATTCCCTCAGTTAAAATATAGCTTGAAAGTTTATTGTTTCGACAATCTGGAGAACTTGCAGTAAAACGTAATGTGCATTCTGAACAGCATTCCAGTTAAGAACTTCAGTTGGGCATAAATGGGTGGCAGAGTCACTAGCAACGGCATATTAATGCAGGAGGAGGCTGTTTTGTAGAATATTAAATGTATGTTAAAAGAAAGAAAGGGTCTGAGAAAAAATCTTCATACTGCAAACATTGAAAGACTTGTGGAAATATATATATATAACACGAAATTATACAAACAAAATGATAAAATTAAATATATCAGAATTAACTGCATGAAATTTGCCAAATAAAAGTTCTTTCTCTAAGATTAAAAATTTTTAAATCATAAAACAATCAAAAATTGATTAAAGAAAGGCTCAGCTTTGATGGGTAAATTGTATAAATAGTGATTAAATAGTGTAGAACCTATGTAATAAAGTAAAATTTCATGCGGACTGTATTCATGAAAACATAATGATTGAATAATGAAAGAACGTCAAAAACTAAAAGAAAATCACCGAGGCAATGGATGATCACCAAAGCAACAGACGACCCTTTTCTACTCTTGGGAAAAGACTTGCTTGAGCAAGTTAATTTGCATCTGCCTGTGGTTGCTATTTAGTTTTGAAAATATATAGGCCTAAACAGCGATTTTAATATTATTAAAATGGCTGAATGAAAAACTATGGGGAAATAGACAGCACAACAGAAGAGGGTTTGAGGGTTTTACGAAAGGCAGTGGCCCACTCTGGTTTGTCATGCTAATGAAGATAGAGAAAGAATGAATACACAGCATAAACTCTTTTGTTCTTTTTGTATTGTTACAGTCAATCTCAAAACAACTGACCCCTTCTTTTATTTAATTTTCTTTGGAATCAAATAAAATTTTCAATAAATTAATGAATAATAATTTTATAGCGTATATTAATCATTACAATGTACATCTTCAACAAATTTAAAAGGTAAGCACTAATGAGCATTCTAGCAGTAAGGAGAAATAAAAATTTATAAAAAACCTAAAATACTGTAACTCACTTTAATTAATGCTTTATGGCTGTCTTTAATAATGCTTATTTCATCAGGATTTATGCAATATTTACTTGGATGATCTAAGTAAAAAAAAATATATATATATACACATAACTGTATTTTGAAAGTGTAAAATGAAATTCATTACATTAACCTTCGGCAGTAATACATTAAATATTTCTCTATAACTCATTAAAAAATAACAGCTCATTACAATCATGAAAGGCAGTTATTAAGAATTATTCAATATACAGGCATTGAATGTTTAACTTTAAAGTAATAAAATATCCAGTTTTTACACCAAGAAAGATTTTAAAAAAAATAGGCAATATATCAGTTTTTAACGCTTTTTTAATCCTTTGATTTGAATGGAATAATAAATGAAAGGATAAAAATTTGCAATTTGATTTTTTATGTTCTACCTTAGCACTTGAAAATTTATATAAACATACATCTCTTTAGGGTGAAGTGTAGGATTATATGTAAATTAACCAGCTATTATTATTTGAACTTTAATTTCCTCTTTCCCTACTCCTCACCAGAATGCAAATTAGTTTTTGTGTACTAAAGCAAAAGCTTGAATGTTAGATCTTCTGACAGCCTTGCCTTGCAGATATGTACTATTGCCAGCTCTGCCAAAGTTATTCCAGCTTTAGCATATTGTCAGTGTTTAAAATATGTATCATTAATTATCTTGAGCCATTTTAACTAGTCTAATTTGTGTGTGTTCCCAGACTGCATTACTTACATTGACATTAATGTCATCTTAAGTTATATTAAATACCTGCAAGTAGTGGAGGTTCATCTGTAGTACAAATAGAGCATTCTGTTCATTTAAGAGTTAACTAAAAAGATTACTTAACCTGCTTACGACTTGGTCATTTGCTTCGGACTAAAGTGATTACTTGCTTTGCAGTTTAGTAGGGTCTAAAGAACACTGAAATAAGCTTCTAGACAAAGCAGAACCCTAAAAATGTATGTAATCAAAGAATCTCGACTGATTTTTTAATAATAATAAATACTTAATATGATATGCCTGCAAAAAAAGGGAGAACTGGCAATAGCACATGATTAGAAATTAATACTTTTAAATAACAGTTGATAATCAGTCAGGTTAAAAAAAGTTTCCTTTTAATTGTTATTAAGACACATGAATGCATATGATAAACTTTCTATTACTTAGACATTGCATTTTATGCACCGTATACAGCATCAATTTGCAACTTTCTTTTGAAGCCAGATGTGATATTTGTGTTTCTTCACACAGTGCAAACAATAAGTTTTTGTTTTTTTTTCAGTTATTAAAATTTTCTGCTCTATGCCTATGCAGGACTTGAACATAGCATTTTCCATGAATTCTCAGTGCTCTAGTGTAGCTCCAGTACAGCTTTGCAGTCACTTGTGGCTTTGAAAATGGTTGAATAGGAAAAGAATATAAATGATTTCAAAAAATGTTCAAATAACAGCAAGTAATCAGTGAGCAAGTAAGAAACAGCCATAAAATATCAACAAATATGGGCCAGCCCATACTCATGAAATGGAACGAGAGTTATTTCATTAAGTAACAGATTAGATATATGGAAAAATACACTTTATAACAAAAAAAATCGAATCGATGCACCAAGAAGGAGTTGTCTGATGCAGACAAAAATTGGTGGATAGGAGGATTATATACACAAATAAAAAATGATTAAAATTTCAGAACAAGTGAATGATTTATTTCAGAGTTACATAGTTAAAAAATAACAACTCAATAAGGTGTTGACAGAACTCTAGCCTGGATGCAAGCTGCCACATGGCATGGCATAGATTGATAAAGCTTCTGGATGGTCTCCTGTGGTATTTTTTGCCAAATTTGCTCCAACTGTCAGGCTACCTGGTAGATGCAGTTGCCTTCCCACCATATCCCAGATATGCTCAATGGGAGAGAGCGATCAAGCTATCTGGCTGGCCATGGAAGTGTTTGACAAGCTATTAGACAGATCATAGCAACACATACTGTATGTGGTCTGGCATTATTTTGCTTAAAAATAAGGCCAGGGTACTGCAAAAGAATGGTAGCAAAGCAGGTCTCAGAATGTCGTCGACATGCTGCTGTGCTCTAATGCCTCTAATGACGACCAAAGGGGTCTGGCTATCAAGGGAAATGGCACCCCAGACTATAACTCCTGGTTGAGGGCCTGTGTGATATGCAATAGTGAAAGTAGAATTGGCATGCTCCTCTGGGAAATCTCCAGACACGTCTTCGATGATCGTCATGACACAGTTAGAAGTGGGATTCATTGCTAAAAACTATACATCCCCAATCAGCATCATTCCAACCAGATCAAGCCAAGCACTACTGTAAACTTTCTGATTTGATTCAGCTTATTATTTTTTGCAGACTGTTATTATTACAGTAAATTTATGAAAACTATTCTGCAATAAAGAGGTACTTTAAATAAAATACCTCTTTATTGAAGAAACAATCATTTTAACATACATGTGTGATCAATAATTTGGCTTTGTAGCTGCGTATCTGCTTGCGTATCTCAAACCAAAACATTCTAAATAGAAACATTGTTGATTTTATAATAACTAATACTTCATATCCCTGACACCAAGCTGTACTAGAACAATCTACAATCAGGTACAATTACTATTTATACATAAGCTATATATAAATATAATACATATCCTAAGTTGCGTTTTCGAGACATGGAAAATGCAATTTGAATTTCATCAATCGGCCCAGTAGAACAGGAGATACAGAACTGTCCCATTCTTTTTTTTTTTTTTTTTTGTGCAGTGTATCTTCAGATACTTTAAAAAATGCTTGGCATAATTTATGGCTATATTTCATGGTGAGGAATATCAAGACGATAGCCATGAATTTGAAGGCTTTTGGATATCGACATAATCGAAGTTTGAACTTTCGATTATGTCGAAAAGAAATTCTAATTCTGGAACTGCAACAGGATCTACAAAGCAAAAGCATTTTTAGATGTCCATTAAACAAGATGTGGAACTGCTGCAAAACATGGATATAGGTATATCTGTCTCAAATTTATGAAAGGATTATGGCATTGGAAAGTCAATTATATATGGCATAACAGAAAAAGGAGCTTTATGCATTTTTTATGGATTCTGACACCTCACTTGCAATGAGTAACAGAAAAATTATTCACTATGCTAAAAGTGATGATCATGAAAAAGTAACGATAGAATGGTCAGACATAGATGCAGCAAAAATATGTCATTGACAGGTTCAATGCTAATGGCTCAAGCCAAAATATTTCATGAAAAAATGAATTTAAAAATTGAGTGCACATATTCTATCGATTGGTTAATCTAATTTAAAAATCTCCATGGTATAATGCAATTAATTTCAGTTGAAAAAGCTTCAGCTGATACTGAAACTGCTGAACTATTTGCAGATAAATTCACTGAACTCATTAATAATAAAACATTATCTCCAGGACAAAATTTTAATGCTGATGAAACTTTTCTTTTCTGGTAATATAACAATAAATCTGTACAAGGGTAAACTTTACGTAATCGGATGGTTTGAAAATCATTTCATGCCCAAGGCTCGGCAAAATTTGAATTCATTTGGTTTACCTGATGACGCAAAAATTGTCCTGATTGTAGATAACTGTTCAGCTTATATTTCACTTAAACATTTTAATGAACGATAATGTAACTGTCTTTTTCTTTCCTCGAAACTGTACATCCATCATTCAGCCTATGGGTATCTGAATAGCGCACACCGTGGAGTGCAAATATAAAGTAGCATTTATAAAATTCATGTTAATTTTCTTGAATAATGGCAAGACAATTCACAAATTTGTTAAATATTTTAGCAAAAAATTTTATGTGTGGTACATCACAAGATCATGGGGAGATGCACAACACCGGACAATTTTTTTTTTTTTTTTTTTTTTTTTTTTTTTTTTATGGAGCAGGTTTACCAATTTCCTGTTGTACTGAGCCGATTGACAAAATTTAATTTGCGTTTTTGATATCTCGAAAGTGCAACTTAGGATATGTATTAGATTTATATATAGTATTGTTCTAATATAGGGATTTTGACACAAAATCGGACGTTTTCTGAAATGACATGCCAATTTTTCCATATTTCAATTCTATGACTTAAATTATGCCAAACTGCCAAGTTTTGTAAAAATCAAACGAGTAGTTTTTAAAAAATTACCTCTCCAAATTTCAGCTCCTCAATGTTCATTGAACCTGGCACATATTTATTAATCTCTCTATTTTTATTAAACTTATTTGATTCTTCCTTTCACATTTCGAAATTTGGGTTCATTCTAAATAAAATTCACTCATTTTTTACGATTTATTTTTTAAATTTGTATTTTAAAATAATTTTTATAAATTTTTCAAAAAATTTTTGAATTATAGTCTATAAAAGTTTTACTGTCATCTTAAAGTAGATGTATTTCTAAGCATACGTGCAAAAAATTATAGTTTTTTTATTCAAAATTTTCGAAGATATATGTAAATTTATATATTGGGGCATTTTGAAATTTGGCATATTTGTTGAAAGCGATAAAACATCAAATGTGGTTTAGGCACTTTATTAAAATTATTTGAAAATAGGAACAATATGACTTTTTTCCCTTGTGCGCAATGTGAAAAGGGAAAGGAAAATAGGTTGCTATATATTAAGAAGTTTACCAAGTGAATTATTCTTGGCACAAACTGAAAAAAAAAAAAATATGCCAAGATAAAGTTTCAAATTTCTCCATAAATTTCGCACCAAATTTTACAAAATTTAACATTTAAGCATAATTTGAGTTGTAGAATCAAAATATGGAAAAAAATTGGCTTGTCATTTCAGAAAAGGTCCGATTTTGTGTCAAAATAACTATATTAGAACAAAGCTATATATAAATCTAATATATATCCTGAATTGTGCTTTCGAGACATGAAAATAGCAATTTGAATTTTGTCAATCGGCTCAGTAGAACAGGAGATATAGAACTGTCACCCCCCTTTCTTTTTTTTTTTTTTTTTTTTTTTTTTTTTTTTTTTTTTTTTTTTTTTTTTTTTTGCACAGTGTACCTACAGATATTTTTAAAAATGCTTGGCATAATTTATGGCCAACTACCATATTTCATGGTGAGGATGATGAAGATGATAGCCATGAATTTGAAGGCTTTTGGATATCGCAAACTACAAGTGAAACTTTCCAATTAATGGATTTTGTAGAGAAATGCGAAGAAGCAGTAATAAATGAAGATGATTTAACAGGTAATAAATGAAGATGATATATATTTTGCATTAGGATGAGAATGCTCCAATCATAAATCAATTAACGGATGGCAAAACCTGTAGTATGGTTGTAGATCCATAGCGAAGAAATCGACAGAGAGGTTATCAAAAACGAAAAAATTTCTATCGACAAGTTAGTCTATCTATAGAACTGAAGAGAAAGTATTAGCACAGAAAAGGAAGCAACTTAAACAATTTACATTTAAAAAAATTTTTTAATAATGTAAACAAATAAATATTCAGCCTTTTTTTTGTGTGTGTGTGTTTTTTTGTTTTTTTTAGATCATGAATGCTTCATTATTTCATAAATCATGATTTCATATCTTTAATTTTATAATTTTTTCATGCCATCTTATTAGATTTATAAACTGATGATCTAATAGCCGGAAAAATCCCAAAACAGGAATCGCTGAAGTCCTCACGAGTCCAGATCCCGCACTCTGTGCGGTGCATAATGTGATATGTGGCAGAATTTTATCATAATATGCCCGACTATCTTTTGTGTTTAAAACCATAATAAGTTTTTTCAGGGAGGGGGGTATCACATGATATACTATTTTTGTTGACATATGATCTATTGCAAAAACCATGATAAATTTACAATTAAATATCTTTAATGCAGAGAGAATAAAAAATGAAATCTTACCTACACCACTATTTACATAAAAACCCACAGTTTTTTCACTGCCATCTACGCCTGGCCCAATGCTAAACTCATCTTTGTTTCTATAGGAATCAATCACAGGCTAAAATATAAAATATAAATTAGCAATAAATTAGAAATATTATTTATTATATGCAAATTTAAAATCACTATACTGAATTTATGATTTACACTTTAACTAATATATATATACTTTATTATTTAACTCACAGAAGGTAAAACTAATTCCACAGGACACGGCAATTTGTCTGGTCCTAATGTTATTGGCACTTTATTAGAATGCAGTTTTTCTCCCAATAATCTTAAACAGGTCAAACATTTCTTGTGCTTCCTCTGCAAAATAAAATCATCACATACTGATATGAATACAAAACTCATTACTATTATCTGAAATTTAAAAATGAAATAAAAATAGTGTTTTTACTTTATCTATAAGTTTGTTAACTGTATCATTAAAATGTTTTGGCTAATATTTTGTAATGACTGATACAGACTTTTTCATACCTATTAGGAGAGAGACTATATTGTTAGTCACCAATTTGTTCTTCATGACTAAACCTTTTGCACCGAATATCATGCATATGTGCCAGCAAGAAATGCTCTCATTTCTCGGCCAGCATGCTTGCATGCCAGAGCGCTTTCTCATTCACCTCAGCTGTTACACCTTCGTGCCAGTCTCCTGGAATGTTTTAAAAACTATAACTTTTGCTATAAGATGGCATAGCATGTCCATAGGATTTCACATGTAGATTTTATCTTCTACTTAAAATGAGAGAAACATGGCTCACTCAGGAGAGAAGGGAAAGCATAATGTAAACAAACAAGGCTCATCTCTTTAACTCACCCCATGATAAAAACATTTGTACCTCTAATATCCCTCCAAATCCTTTTTTTTTTTTTTTTTTTTTTTTCCACTACTTTGTAGGATCTTTCAGGCTTACTATGTGAAGTTTTGTTACCCTTTGCACTGCTTTTAGATATATTTCACTTCTTCCATTTTCATTTTGGAAAGCCTTGAACACCAAGTTATTATGGCGAGAAAGTGTTACTTATCAGAGGAAGGATATACTTTCATTGTAAATGAGCCAATTAGTATCATGGATGAGAGTGATGTTTCATTTTCTAAAGTGATATTTCTAGCGATTCTGATACAGTCATATTATAAGAAATTGAGTTCTTTGAGTGCCTGCCTACCACTTTCCGTGAAAGATTTTTTTACTTCTTGTAAATAATCTTTCTTGTACTTTTTTATATTAATTTTGAAGTTTGTTAATATGTTTTATGACTTAAAACTTTGGAATAATTCAAATAGGTTATTTAAAAATTATTTTTAAAGTATGCAGTTTTTTTAACATATTTTCATGTAAAGTAAAGAAAAAAAATTATTAAATGCTAATTTTTAAGTATATGATAGCTTAGGTAATAATCTAAAAATGGTACCAAAAATTACAACCTTAGGACTTTTCTTTGTGGTTTTTTTTTTTTTTTTTCCCTTTTTTTCTTTTCTTTTAATGTTAGACTTAGCAATGCAAAAACCCCATCCCGTGCGAGCTTTTCTTTTGACTCCCCTCCGTCCTGAGGGAATGTCTTAAACAAAGGCGAGCCATCTCGAAAAGGCTAATAAAACTGCCCACATTCTGTGTGTTTTAGTTCAAGGGGAACGTTACTGTGTAACAGCTGCAATTCACTGATGCTCCAGAAACTGATAATGAAGGAAATGATATTTGTTGCTCATTTTCCAATCGATGATGATCTTATTCAACCATTGCTCACTTGAACTTAAGCCTGATGATATGGGTTGGATTACTTAATAACACTAAGAATCTCCAGATCTAGAGCAAACATTTCTGCGGCACTATACCTATGAGAGTTCATGTTTATCTGGAAATTACAAACTGAGCATTTTTCCTTTTCGTGCATCATGTCTCCTGATACTAATTCCTTCGCTGACTCTCTTGAAGGTAACTCAAGCACTTCTGAAACAATCCTACCATCAATGATTCAGACTCCTGTGATTTGAACTTTACTCCAGATGATAAAATTACTGTTTTTGTTTTGAACTCCTGTGAATCAAACTTGACTCTAAATGATGAAATTACTATTCCTGCTTCCAACACTTCAGTGGAAATTGCATCCCAGAAACCACTCCCCAAAAACTTACCTCCTATGATCTGCTCTCAGTCTGATGTTAACCGACAGGAGACTAATTCTTTTCACTCATTAATTCTTTTCAATCATCACACTGATCCTCACAAATTCTCTCACGTAGTATCCACATATACATTCTATTATCTGGAAGTTTTGGGTGTGTAATGCTAAACTCTACCCCCTAACTTCCCGAAACAGCATTTTATCTATTGATAATAAATTACTTCTTTATACAACAAGTCCATCTTGAGGTTCATGCTCCATTATGTTTGTCCGATCTGGGCATACTCCTGTAAATCTTACAGGAAGCTGAAATTGTGCAGAACAGTGTTCTAAAGCATATTATAGATGCACCATGGTACATTCATAATAACACATTTCAGGACAAGCTTGACATTGTCAAGCTCAAAACCTTTTACCACCATTTTGCTAAAAGTTTCCATTATCATATGAGAAATAGTAACAACACTGAACTATGAATTTACAATTATAATGATGTGCAAAACATAAGACGTCTTATGGCTATTTTCAGACCTAGAAATATTATGGAAGATTAATGTATTATTGCTTTGTTTTTGTTTTTCCTATTTATGTCTTATGTTTTTGTATTTTTATTTGTAATTTTTATTCTACCTTTCCACTGCTGATATGACATTTCACACTTGTTCTCCATAGCTCATTGTACCAGCTCAGTGGCTTTCTGATAGCTTCTCCCCATTTATCCTTTTTCTAGTATAAATTTTAATACATTTTATATTATTAGAAAGAAAAAAAAATATAGTATAAATCTCTATATATAATTTTATTATAATCAGTCTTAAATTAGTTGGGACACTATTTCAAAGCTTTGCATTTTTTCATTTGGGGTAGGGTTCACCGAGTGTCTTAAACACCATTTCACAAGAGGAACTGATTTCTACACTATCCTCATGAAAGAGGAGATCAGGTTAAATTGCACCTCAAATACCATGCATAAAAAGTGCTCATTAGCCTCATGAAAACAGATGTACAATTCTGCCCTTCTGAACGAAAGCTGATTTTACTTCTCGAGGTTATTTTCCATACATAACCTTTTTATGCAGACATTGCTAAAATTCATGAGCAGCTACATGACTGGAATTTTCCTGTCACCAAAGTGTCTCAGTTCATGAAAAAGTACCAACTCAACAGAAATCTTTCCCCATCATTTTAGCTGAGATCCAGCCTATCGATGTGTGAAAGTAAATTTACTACTTTTGAACCATCCCTGGTCATTTTATCAGGAAATTTTAGCCAAGAAAATCTCCATTAATGTATTTCCCATGACAGCATTTTGGCAACTGCCAAACTGGTTGCAGTAAAAGCCCCAGGTGCTATAAGTATAGGCTAGGTATCTTAGTTACACTTGTAAACTACCTTAAAAACCAAGGCACAAATTGGAACATTAATCATTATACAAAGGTTGCCATTTGTAACCCAAACTTAGCAGTTTCTATCGCATAAAGAACTCTGATTTTGCTATTGAAAATTTGAAATATGCGCCTGCTTCCATTTATGGGAAGAAATTTTCCCATCACGGCTATTCGATACATGTGCAAAGAGAAATGTATGCTGAATGAATCAAATCACTGTTTACTTATCCCAACTTAATTCAACTTCTCAGCAGAATCATAAATGTAATCAAAGAATGAAAAATGTCAAAATCATCCATTAGTTTATCCAAAGGGGTGAATTGAAAAGAATTAATGACTTCAAACTTTGGATAAACTTATCCAAAGTTAAACATAATGGTTTGCTAAGAAAAGCCATCGAGCTTTCTAAATATTTCTGTGCAACTGTATAGTTTCCTGAATATACAGTTAGATTTTACTTACTCTCAGCCAATCATTGATTGCCTTCTACTTCCTGAAAGATGCCAAAAGATTTCACTCTCTCCCAGCCATGCAAGATCAGCTTCTATACTATAGACTATGTTTTCTACCAAGAGACACCTCTTCCTTTCCTAAATTTAGATTCAACTTCATGAACTTTCAGCATTAGGCCCCTCTATGGGATTACTTCCTGAAATAACTTGCTAACAGTCAATTAGCAGATGCCAGTTCACACACAAGTGTCGACAAATCTATTGCATGCATGCATTTTGCACATTAAATGTATTGTCTATTTCTATAACAATAAACATGAATTTTTTAACATATTGGTTTGCTTATTTTATGAAAATTTTGTTTACATTGATGATTTAAAATTATTATAGATTCGAACAGTTACTGTAAAAAGTTAAGAAGTTAACCAATTACGACATTAAATGTATTTTCTATGTCTATAACAGTATGTTTTTAACATATTGGTTTGCTTATTTTATGAAAATGTTGTTTCCACTGATGTTTTAAAATTATTATAGCTTTGAACAATTACAGTGGGAAAAGTTATGAAGTTGACCAATTACGACACCCTTTCTTCGAAAAGTCATCTGTGAAACTACAAAACTTGTTCTTTAATAATACAAATAGATATAGTTACTGATTAATACTGTATTGATATATCATTTGTCACAGTAAATTTTCACATAGCTGAACAGATTATGAAATGATGTCAAATATGTTATAGCTATTTTTCACTCATAGTTAACTAATATAATACTTCTTCCATGTGACATTTCCTGCTACAGACTTTTGTATAATGTTCATTGATTGATACTAAATAATCTCTGTTACTCAGTAATTTTTAAATATTTCAAATTGCTTTTAAAATAAAAAAGATCATAAAATGCATACATGATTGTAAATTATTCTATTTAATTACTGATACATTAAAATTAATGTAATATAACATTATGTATCAAGTTAATATGCTTAATATAAAGAACTGATGGATTTCAAAACAAATATTTCACACTTGTATTGAAATTAAGGCTTGAAAATCCATACTATACTATGTACATTTCAGAATTATCTTAACCCCTTAACTGGCATGGAAAATGTACAAGATTCACTCCCCAGTGGCACCATTTTTTACACAGGTGATTGTAGTTATGTGATGTATTGCGGGGGGGAGATAAGTGCAAGTTTTGCTGTCTAAGAATTGTTTATTTTCACAAAATAAAGAATAAAAGAAAAAATGAAAAGACAAGTTTAATGTTTAGAGTAAAAGTATAATAAAAAACATAAGTATAATAAAAATGATGTTTGTATAATAAAAAGGATCCCAAAAAATAGAGTTTCAAACAATTTATTTTTAGACCAGTAAAGTGTAATACTATCAGGTTTCAGTGTTATACCTTGTAAAATCAGTATACCTAAAAAAACATATATTTCTTCTGAATTGGTTGGATGCCATGGTTTTGTTCTTTATTTTTCTTTTGCAGGATGTTGGTCTGCAAAACGGTCAATTTCAGTAATAAATATGAAGCACGAGCAGTTTATGAAAAGAATAATTCAAAAAAGATAAGTGGGGTTTGAAACATCCGTTATATCTTTCTTTATTCCTGGCACCTACTACAAACAGCAAATGCAAACAGCAGACACAGAATAAAAAAATACGTTTTACTCAAACAGAAACACCAGCAATAACCATGCAGTCATTACTTTGACCATTTCAGAAACATTCCCCTCTCCAATTCTCCCCCCCCTTCTCTGAAATAGTATCCTCCTTTACATACTCTGTCAAGGTCACTGTGGTGTTGCATTCCAAAGCTTTGCGAATAATTTTACTGGTAACAGCGCAAAACAAATGATAGTATTTCGGAAGGGCGTATACGTATGCCTAGGGCAGTTAATGCATTGGTTGAGCAAGGCATATATATATGCCTGCAGCAGTAAAGGGGTTAACTGTATAGATCAGTGGTTGTTAACCGTTTTTGCTCCACACACTCCTTTCACCATTGCTAGAAGATCATCCCCCCACCTTCTCTTTCCCAAACTCAAAAAATACATGCAAATTTATTTAGATTTACATAATTTTTTAATGGCACAGAAGAAACAGATAGAATCAGACTGAACATTCCTGCTAGAGGAGACTCTCCCTGGTGTAGATTTCACTTATACTAAAAACAATGGAGAAAGCTAGAGGATTACTATATTTATTATATTTTTAAGCAATTACATGCAACCATCAGCTGGCAAGTGCTTAAGTAGTATCTTAGTTGAAAATATCAAGACAGAAGAAATGTGATTTCCCACAGATGAGAATAATTTCAAACCCATACTGTTGCAAATGGCATCATTTCTCTCGCCAAATGTCACATAAAAGACTGACAACAAGTGATGAACTGTTGGGTATAATAGCTTTAGAACATAGCAACAAGTTGTAATTGTAACTGCCTTGTAACTAGAAGTATTCAAAAGAATGTCTGAATGTTTAATGCAGGTTTTAAGCATAACTAAATTGTGTTTTGTTATGTGCCATACTATCTCTTCATTTTAGAAGTTACCAAAGTAACGTCAGATAGACTTCTTTATTGTGTTACCTTTCAGAGCTATCCTTAACATAAAATATTTTGGCACCCAACATGGGACGATCTCAGTAACTAGCGATAGTAATTGTAAGAGAATGGATGTGATACATTTGAAAGCCCAATGAAAACCATTGAGAGCAACGTTTACATTGTGTGTGAACAAAATAGAAGATGATTACTAAAAGAAATTCTCGATGTGAATATAATTTTAGTTTTGAAATTTGAGTTAAAGAGTAAATTTGCACATTTAGAGCTGTCTATGGCTATTTTAAATGGTAAGGATAATGAAAAAGAATTGGAAGAAGATTTTGAATCTGCTGAAACTTAGCGTGATAAATTTTTGGAATTATGTTCCAGAATTGAACAATTATCAAGCAAGAAAAAGGAATCAAATGTTAAATCATCTGGAGAAATTATTTCTCAAAAAAAAAAAAAAAAAAATTGAAATTACCGAAGATTGAACTGAAGAAATTTAGTGATGATGCAAAAGAATATTTGACTTTCTGGAATCAATTTTCCATGATTTGTGAAGATGTGAGCATTCCCGAAGAGGATAAATTTCAGTATTTGCTTCAAGTGGTAATCCCGAATTCAAAAGCAGACAGAGTGGTCCAAAATTTCCTAGCTATGGTCGTGCATTATCCAAAATCTATCAGTCAACTATGGGAATGTTTCGGATGAGAGGATTTGCTTGTTCAAATTTGCATGTGAGATTTGTTGAGTATGGTTATAAAAAATGTTGTTGCCGGACATTTGAAAGAAGATCTGTCAGAGTTGTATGATAAATTAGAAGGAAAAATATGGTGATTTTTTAAATCTAGTGGAATCATGC